CGCTGCAATTTCGTAATTCCTCAAGCCAGCTTTTCGTTGATTCATTAGTTACTTCTAATTTTGTTGATTGTGACTTGGTCTTGCGTTGATTCTGTATAATTTAGTCAACTGTTATTTGGATTTATAATTGATTTTGGATTTGTAAGTTGTAGACATTTGGTATATTTGGTTCAAAATGGAACTTCTAACTTGGCATTAGGTACTTGATTCTGTATAATTCAGTCAACTGTTATTTGGATTTAAAGTTAATCCTTATTTAATTAATTTTAAGCCTTGCAGTTCATTCTAATTTAGTTCGTTATGTTTAGTTTTTTATGTTGTAGAAATTTGGTATATTTGGTTCAAAATGGAACTTTTAACTTGATATTAGGTAGTTGATTCTGTATAATATAGTCATCTTTTATTTGGATTTATAGTTAATCCTTATTCAGTTAATTTTAAGTATTGCAGTTCACTCTAATCTACCGTTAATTCTAATAACCGTTCTCCGAACATTCAAGATCCGACACAAGATTTTTAACTCCCATTGCTTCGACTTTCTCAGTAAAATCGCCAAAACTTGAATTCAAGAGATCCACAGCAATGGTTATACCTACTCGTTACTGTTCGAAGGTGTGAAATGTTGAAAATATCGTTGGACAAGTGTAAAAAATGTATTCGTCTGTGTCCGGAACAGGCATTCCATTCCCTGGAACACGCGGACCGCCGGTAGTAATGGTTTCCAGGCCACCGGGATCACTGTGACGACAGTCAGCGAATAAAAACCATGCGTTCTCCGGAAGATTTCCTTTCCATCGCCATTTGTTTTTTATGTCGCGGTCTTTTACGAGCACCGCACTCGGCGAATTCCCGATCGGGACCACTGTTAACCCGTGAGAAATCGAACACCGGACAGACACGCGTCTATAGGAATTTTAAGGGAAATTACTGCTGCCTGATAAATCAACCCTAGCTTCGTTCGACAGATTAACCCTTTCCGCTCGAGAATAATATTTAAATAAAATAGCTTTGTCGCTGAATTTATCTGTGAATTATCGTTAACCCTCTACAGGCCGAATTTTTGTTCATGATTATAACAAAATCTATGCAGTGTAAAATTAATAAATATCCATGTATAAATACGAATTAACAATGTATTCAATAGTTTCAATAATTTCATCAAACGAATATATTTTGTAACTTTCAAGTTACAATGACGTTAAACTTTCACGCCTGGGCATATAAAAGTTTAAGTTAACTGATTACTTAATTTCATTCGCCACTTTGAGTGCAAAATGAAATAAATCAACAAGATGCCAATATACTGATATGTGACTACAAAGTTACATGGGCCTACAGAAGGTTAAGTTAGTTTCAAACAATGTCTATATCTCATTGGAAAATGTTGAATATTCCTATGGGAAAACTTTCAATACTTCGTTTAACCTTTTGCGAACGAAGATACTTTGAAATGTACAAAGTCTTCAACAGATGAAGTTAAATTAAATATCAATTAATTAATAGGAAAACAGGAAACTACATGCTGCTCTTTTGCTGTTTCACTAATTAACACTAGAACTACCGATTATTTAATATGATTGATATGTAACCCCTATAAAAATTGTAACAATAGATTATTTTCAGTTTTCTTCACATATTCATTATAGTATTTAAATGAAACTATTTATTTTCAAAATTACTTCGAATATTCGTTACTTCTAAGATATCAATAATTGTAAAACAAGAAAAGCGAGACCCGTCATTTGACTGGTGCGGTGGTTCTAGTGTTAAATCATTTGTTCGCGACTTCTAAATATGAATATCTGATCTCGCCGGAATCATGACATTCGTCCGTAAAGGGTTAATATTAACACTAAACCTACCGAGCAGTTAAACTGACCTTCTGACATTCCTCTAGCAACTCCAAGAGTGCATCTATTGAAACTTGGCTTAGAATTCAGTGTACGTATTGCTAAATCAATTTCTTCAATCATTTATCGAAGAAACATCTGTCATGTTTTTAACCCTTTGCACTCCAGAGGCGCCAAGTCACCAAATGATTTGACACAGCAAAACTGTAAACTTCGATATTTAACATTAAACTTTGTATAATGCATCAATGTACGAAATATTGAAAGAAAATATTTCTCTTCCTCGATGCATGTGAGATTTCTTAATTCAATCTAAGAAAATGTCGTCTGTATCTCATTAGAAAATATTGAATATTCCCGGTGAAAAACTTCTGGAGTGCAAAGGGTTAATAATTGAAAATAAAGAAATTATGGGTCATTTTGACACGTCTGGCAGTGTTAGCGTTAAATATCAAATTTTATAGTTTTGCATCGAATCAAGTGAAGAACTGAGAGTCACCTTTCGAGTTCAAAAGGTTAATATCTAGAAGAGCGATACGTGTGCGCTTCGTTATAGGAAACCGTCATTTTCCAGCGAGCGGCTCGATGTTTTTTCGGAGAACGGAGTTCACCGGCGCCCTTAACCAGCAGCGCAACCCTGCAGCTTGATTAAACGCGTCTTGCAAGATGCAATAATTGCGGAGTCTCGTGAAATATTCAACGGCGCGTTGAACCATCGAGCAGTTGTTCCATTGACGTGCTCCCGTGAGGATGCGTCGGTTTTTCCGTGGGGATAGATCCGTCGGAGAGTTCAGGGAAAATGGTCGCCCCAATGAAAATAGATATTACCGGTCGGCAATAAAGAAAAAAAGAACAGAGGACCTTTAGTGACAAAGAAAATTATAATACTCTCTGAAAACTCGTGCGATCGTTCCTTTCGTGATACTAATTCGAGTATTAGAAGATTAAAGCTGTGATCGCTTGAAAAATTGAGAACACCTGTTTAACACGTTGAATGCCATGGAGGTCACCGATGACCCCCAAACAAATCAAATTACTATAATTCACTCCATTAACCCTTTGCACTCCAAAGTTTTTCACTAGAAATATTTTAACATTTTCTGATGAGATGAAGACGATATTTTGTAAAACCAACTCGACGAGAAATTCACGCGAATTGACGGACAAAGTTATTTTACGACAATATTTCTCAGATTGATGCATTATATGAAGTATAATATTAAATATCAAACTTTATAGTTTCATTATAGAAAATCAAGTGGTGTCTGAGAGTCACCTCCCGAGTGCGAAGGGTTAAACGATGATTATTCGCAAACAGTTCTATATTAGAAATAATGCTACCCACTGCGGTGACATTCAGTTCGATGAACATGCAATGATAATAATGATTTGATAATAATATAATTTCACTGTATCAAACCAAGCGGTGAGGTCACATCTCGAGTGCATAGGGTTAACATGTTCCGTGTCAGACCGTTTCTTGAAGACTTTCCGTTCACACTTTACAATTGTATTGTTCTGTTTCTGGAGTATACCTTACAATGATTAAAATAATGCAAAAATCATATTCATTCGAAGAATACACGGTCCATTTTTTTATTTTATCGCGCAGAACCAGAGGTTTTCCCAACTAAATTCCACAGTTAACTGGTTAAGCAATTAATGTATAATTTAGCTTCACATGTTGAAGGTTTTGTATGTTAGAATCTTCTTCCGCAAAGGGTTAAAATTATTCGCAAACTATAAAATTTGATACTCAACCAGTTAACTGTGTTTGGCGAGTATACACGTCATCTTATAACTCTTAATGGTGCCAACTTTTTCAACGATGTATAGACGTTTATTTAAACGATGACAATTTTTATATATTTTTTGTTGTCAACACAAACTTCGTCTTTTTTTTTAATATCTTTTCTTTTTTTTCGCGTTTACTCAAAACAACGCATACACGCACGCTACACCCATGCGTATGCACGCACAGCCATGAAATTTACATCAATATTAACCTGCACGTCTACAATGGATTATTTATTCTTTGAGACAAACATTTAATTCTTCTTCATTTCGCTTTACTTTTTCGTTAGGATATATTTTAAATGCATTCGGCCTGCATTTAACGAGTATACATTTCATTATTTGATTTTATTGCGCGCACAGTGAGAGATTTTTCAAACTTAATTCCACACTTAACTGGTTGATATTAAACTTTGTCCCTCAATGTAAGTGTGATTTCTCGAGTTAGTTTCACAATTCAGTTTTCTGAAAATTAGCCTATTAGTGTTGAGGAAGAAATCAAAATTATAGACATATTGTGGGAATGGATATATTTCAGTGTGAAAATAAATATATTAATGATTGGTGAATGCGTATGCTATATTGATTATGCTATATTGATTATGTTAATAATGTTCGTTTTTTATGGACCTAGACTATTCCAAATATACGTGAAGTTAATTCATGGTAATGAAAGAATCTAGAAAAAGTGTATTAACCCTTCTATCTTATCAGAAAACGTTAACATATTCCTAATGAAAAACTTCCGAATGCAAAGGGTTAAAACTCATAGAGTATCTCTCATTAACCCCTTAACGCACAGTTTTCTTGAAAAAAACCGGCCAAAAAAAAATCAATTTTGATATACTGCGCTTTTGTTCCATGGAAAAAGGCTATATTTTATTCTAGAATAAATAAGTGTTATAGCTTACAATCCCATGTAAATGATAAATATCAATAAAACGATTTTTTTTCTTTGCTTTCACATTGTTATTTTCATAGTTTGGCCTGTTTAGCGCGCTCGAATTAACTCGAGCGTACAAGTTAAGGGGTTAAACCTCTCCTACCATTGAAAATCCTATACATCGAACATCACACTACCGTCACCTCCGACGTCTAAAAAATCAGCGACAGATCGACCAGTTGGAAACCGGCAGAAAGATGCGTTTCAGATGTACTTCGTCTCGATGCTGCCCGATTCGTTCCGGGGGCGGTAAAAAAGGGCCGCGAAGAAAATCATCGGGAATCAACGGGGAGAGGGCACGGCGAGAGCTGTCGCGCGATTGGTCGCCGTTAGGGGTGTCCGAACACTTCGTGGGTGGTTGGGCGAGACTATATAAAGCGTTTCACGGATCCACGGTACATCGCAGTCGCTCTTACGTGTTGTTTGATCGCTGGTGCGTTTCCGGAACGTTTCTTCCGCCTCCGTTGCAACTCGCGGCCAACGGTATCGTCCCGTTTAATCAGCTCGCCGGCTTCCGGTGCAACCGTATCACCCGGCTCACAGTGAAATCGTGCTCCGATTCCAGCTTCCACGTGCGAACGCTCCGAATCCTCTTTCGCCTCGTCGGGAAGAGCTACGAGAGGGTGGAAAATGGTCCCGTTCGTCGGACGAAGCAACTCGTGACCGCGAGGGTTGAGAAACGACGAGCGCGGCAACAGGTAACAGCTGGAGGGATTCCTCGATGCCTCGCGAGTGATTTATTCGATGATCGAACCTCGATTTCGTTACAGTCAGGCCGATCTGAGCGGATTTACGGAGGACGTTTCAGTATCTTATCGGAGGATCGTTCGAAGGAGAGGGAATTAACGAGGATCGTGGAAAGGATTTAAGAGGGAGTATCGTTGTGCGGGTTTGAAGTCTTGATGATCGGTTTGAGTGGTAAATATTTTTGAATATTCGTTGTAGGGTGGTTGAGATTGAAGAAGTGGGTGTTGGATTGAAGTCTTGGATGGTAAATTGAACGTTGAAATTCGTACTTTGGAGAACTTGAACCCTTTGCACTCGAGAGGTGACTCCCAGTCATCATTTGATTTGACGTAGTAAAATTAGAAAATTTTATATTTAATATTGAACTACGTATAATGCATTGGTGCGTGAAATATTGGATTAATAAAGATTTGTTTCTTAATTTACCTGTGATTTTTCTTTGAATTCGTTTAAGAAAATCATCGTCTTTGTCTAGTTAGAGAATGTTGAGTATTTCTAACGAAATACTTCCGAGTGCAAAGGGTTAACACGTTGAACGCCGAGCGATTTCATAGAGCAAAATACAGAAAATGGAAAAAATACAATATTAAATCATTTAACTGAATTGGATTATCATTGCACGTCAAACTGAATGGCACCGCAATGGGTTATATTATAATATAGAAATGTTTGCGAGCAATCATCGTTTAATTGAGTGAATTATAGTAGTTCGGTTTGCTTGGGGTCACCGGTGACCCCCATGGCATTCAACGTGTTAATTAAGAATTAGTTTCTTTAGTCATACTTCAGAATTTCTTGATTAAATTAAATGAAGGGACGTATAATGTTTGAACTATAATTGAATTCCAATGTTCGATTTGAATTCCCACTCAGTCGTCGGTGTGCGAGAGTTAACGCTAACGGTACTGATGATCGGTTTGAAAATTTCATTTCGAGTTCCACTTCCTTTTACTCGTTCGATTTTGTATTAGTTAATATTCTACAATTAACCGTTTGATTTCTAAGTGATCGCGCTTCTCTGTTACGCTATTTAAAAGTACCACTCTATCGTAGAATCAAATTAACTTTCTTCATTTGTCTTCCTTTTAATTATTTATTTTAGTTATCACCTGCTTAGAAATAGAAAAACGATTTATATTTACTCGGCACCAACCAGAACAGAATACAACAAAAATTTACATCGAGAAACAATTTTTTTCATTCTCTTGCAATGAAATTAAACCATTTATAACGTTTCGTAAATTTATTTTGATAGTACTAAAAGGGTTAACCCTTTGCGAACGAAGATCCTCTGAAATATACAAAACCCTCAACAGATGAAGCTGAATTATATAACAATTACTTGGACAATAGAAAAATAGGAAACTACGTGCTAATCTCTTGCGATTCCATTAATTAAAACATTTGTTTACTTAGACTTCCAAATATGGACATTTCATTTCGTCGAAATGATATTCGTCCGCAAAGGGTTAACTCGTGACCGGTCAGCAATGCGTTAACCTTTTGCACTCGGAAATTTTTCAGTAGAAATATTTGAACATTGTTTGATGAAATAAATACGACACTGATTGAAATTTAACAATAATTCACAGATAAATTAAGCAACAAAGCTGTTTTATTTAAATATTTCACACAGCAATACAAAGTTTCATTTAAAATACTAAATATTCAACTTCATAGGGTTGCTGTATCAAATCAAGTGATGACTGAGAGTCACCTTCCGAGTGCAAAGGATTAACCAGTTAACTGTGGCGATCTCTTTACAAAGCGCCCACCAGTGTGTCTGTTGAAATATTGGGTAAAAAAGACGACTTTATTTTAGAAAATGAACAATTTTATTAGTAATATTTACACAGTCGCTGAACATGAACATATATTTATACATAATGAACGGAAAACTTAGAAAAAAAATCAAATATTTATAAGTTCTGATACATCAAGATGTACGTATGTATGATCAAAATCGGGATAATCAAAGATCCAGTGTTACTGCACTGCTTACGAGTTAGCTCTCAGGAAGTTATGAATCCAACTCAAATTATTTATAATTTTCATTTGTTTGTTTCATTTCGTCCTGACCTCTAAACATTTTAAACATATTAAAATTCACGAATATAATTTAGTTTTCGCCAGAATTACAATTTAAATATCAAATTGTAACAAAATTTTACGCATGACGGATATAATCGTCACGACACAAAATTCTGCCACATCTCCATGACGGACATAGTCGTCGAACACACTTAACTGGTTAACTTTGCAACCAATCGTTCGACTGGTTGCAGTGGGAGCGTATACCAAGGGCCGGTACAGTTAGCGTTAATGGCGAATGATATCAGGCAAATTAGCAGGTAGTTGTCAGCGGAAAATGTTTGGGCGCAGGCAGGAGGATGCTCCCGCGAAGTAGGAAGGTTCAGTCGGTGCCGTGCTTCGGAAGCGTTGAATTTGTAACGTGTTTGTGGATCGCGTGCGCCATTTGTTCGACCCTGCTCGCCACGGCGGAGGGTTTCCACATCTTCACACGGTATGGGAAACAGCATGAACCACGTGCGGGTAAGTCACGAGACCCGTCTGCTCTACGTCCTCTCTCGTAATTTTGAATAATTAATAATCTCGAAATGTTGTACACCACTCCGCCCGTTCCAATTAGATACAACCACGCTTACAACCTTCTAACGCGCGATTCAACTATCTTTACAATGTAATTAACGCGACACTTCACCGGTGTTAACACGTTGAACCGCGCACGATTTCACAGAGGAGAATACGGGGAATGGAAAAAATATAATATTAACCCTTTACACTCGGAAGTTTTTCACTAGAAATATTTTTATATTTTTTGACGAGATAGAAACGATATTTTGTGAAACTCGAAGAGAAATCACACGTGCATTGAGGAACGAAGCTATTTTATTTAAGTGTTTTTCAAATGGATGCGTTATACGAGGTATAATATTAAATATCAAATTTTATGGTTTTGCTGTATGAAATCAAGTGGTGAATGAGTCACCTCTCGAGTGCAAAGGGTTTCATCATCTAGCATCATGAACATCAAACAAACCGAAATTTCTAACTTACGAAAAAGAATAGGGAAGTCGATTTTGTGATTTTACTTTGGATTTGTGTTATACATATCTAAAATGTTGCATTAACACATTGTTGACCGGTCACCAGTAAATTCGTGACACGCTTTTTTCCGCATCAGCGTCGTTTTCTCAGTCCGCTGTTGGAGATCATTTGCAACTGTTAGTCAGCATATCTCAAACTGTGTCTCTCGCTTATAAGATCCATCAAGTTGTGTCCTTTGTTGTGAAAAAATTTCAACGATGACGGAACGTACCAATGAATCTTTCAATAAAAAAAAAGAAAAAAAACTAGATATATTTGAAAAAGCTGTTGTGTATCATTACACGTAGGTGATTGTTACTTAGTTTATCATGCGAGAAAGAAATATTAAAAGTTGAATAATAAATCAAATTTATTAAAATTTAGTTATATTGTTTTACTTTCACGTCCAATTACGAAATAATAGCCGGTGACGTGAGATAACTTCTCAGTAAAACTGCCGGTCAACAATGTGTTAACACATTGCGTACCGGCTAACTTTCAGAAAACTGAATTGTGATGGCAATTTTCACTGAGGTCAACTTGTATCACTATACATAGAAAAACTCAGATATCATATTGTTATGTAATATATTTTAAATAGATAATCAATTCGAATGAGATTTTATATTTTTTTCAGTGCTGTAGTAATTAGCGAAGTTGCATAGCTAAGTGACTTTATGAAAACGAGATTTTTCGTTACCGGTACAGAATGTGTTAATTAACCCATTAAGTCCCATGAAATTTTTTTTTTCAATTTTTAGATGAAATTTTGTATTTCTTCAAAAAAATCTGATATATTCAATACACTATATGTAGCAACAATACAACATACTATAACAATTTAGAGTGAGTGATCTATTAATAGATCACTGGAACTTAATGGATTAAAGATACAATACAATTTATTTTCTAAGTTTACTAGGAGATTTCTCTTTTCTAACTATTCTTTCATCACGTTTTAGAAATCGCTGCTTCAGCTTGTATTTTATTCAATATCCTTTGAACTTCTTTTGTCACGGATTTTGCGGGGGTTTATAAAACGGACACACACGTCTCGCGTTTGATCATTTCGAACTTTAGAAGGATCATCCCTTACGCGACAGTCGTAACTTATACAGAAACTCTCATTCTGCCAATTGACGTTCCACGTTGAATAACATGGGGACGTTTTTCGTGCAAGAGACCCAGAAGCTGCGAGTTCTCTCTTCATTCTTCTTTAAACATATTACATAACAATATGATATCTAAGTTTTTTCATGTATAGTGATGTAAATTGACCTCAGTGAAAATGGCTATCACAATTCAGTTTTCTGAAAATTAGCCGGTACGCAATGTGTTAACCCTTTGAACTCCAGGCTTCAATATTGCACCAGTTATAATATTAAATATTTTAATGAATCTTAAAGAAACTACCCTAAAATTATTAGATTTTCCACGCATCCGAATTTTGTACTAAGAAGGAAAATAAAAGATCGAAGAAATGTTATAGCATTTCTCATTTTCGCTAGGAATACTATAAAAATTAGTTGCAGTTGTTGATGGATTACAAATCAATCTGGAGTGCAAAGGGTTAATAGATGAAATTAATGTCTCTGCTCGTTTCTAGCGCGAAACAACGTGAATACTCGCACGAAGATTCGCAGTGCAACTATTATCGACGCGAAAGGTGTTCAGTAATTTCCCCCGACTTTTACGGGGCCTTTTCCGATCCGTTCTCTAATCAGACACGCTGCGGCCGTCCGGCTGGCCAGGATTCCCCGGTGTCCTCCAATTAGTCCGTTTCCGGTTCCCGGTTGCGCGATCTTTCTGCCGTGAACCGGATCCCAATGAAGGATCGCAACCGTCCCCGTCTCGTTCGGCAGTCTATAATTGACCGACGTCCGCGATAGTTCCTAATTAAATAAGCTTCCTTCCCGTCGAGCACCGTTTTTCCTGTCCCCGTTGCGCGTCCGCGGCACGTTAATTCGCGTCGTCTCGACGGTGACGCCCTTTCAGCTCAGATTTATCGACGTAATCAGTCCGGAGTTCTCGAGAAACCATAACAAAGGACCGGTTTCAACGGTCTGTAATTACCTGGGAGTATTCTGGGGCAAGTTAGTCTTGACAGTTGGTTCTTTGGGTTTTAGTGTATAACACCTGCTGCGTCGAAACTTTGAACACTGCCGTTCGAAATGATCGTCTTTTGACTTTGTGACGAAGGAAAGTAAGGAAATAGTATTGAATAGTTGAAAGAATAAAAGAATAAAAGTTAAAAGAATAATTGAAAGAATAAAAGAATAAAAGTTAAAAGAATAATTGAAAGAATAAAAGAATAAAAGTTAAAAGAATAATTGAAAGAATAAATGAATAAAAGTTAAAAGAATAAAAGTTAAAAGAATAATTGGAATAATAAAAGAATAAAAGTTAAAAGAATAATTGAAAGAATAAAAGAATAAAAGTTAAAAGAATAATTGAAAGTAAGAATATAATATTATAGGATTTATTTATTAAAAATCCCACGGGTTGCCGTGGTAGGGAATAAAAAAAGAAAAGATACACTCACTTGGTAACAATAACAAAATCTGAGGAACACTTTATTTACACTAACACTTTATTAACACTAGAACTACGGTACTAGTCAAAATGACTGGTTTCGATTTTTTTGTTTAGCAATTATTGATATCTTCGAAGCATTGAATATTCGAAATGATTTTAAAAATAGTTTCATTTCAGTACTATAACGAATGCCTGAAGAAACTGGAAATAATCTATTGTTACAATTTTTATAGGAATTGCATATTAATCGTATTAAATGCTCGGTAGTTCTAGTGTTAACTCTGACACTTATTAACTATAACACTTGCCAACTCAAAACTCTAACAGGTTTTCGCAAGACCCGTAGCACTTAACCTTTTGCACTCGAAAGATTTCCCCCGGAAATATTCAAAATTTTCCGATGAGACATAGACGACAGTTTAAAACCAATTCAACTCACAGATAAATTAACAAAGCTATTTCATTTAAATATTTCACTTAGCAATAGAAAGTTTCGCTTAAAACACTAAATATTCAGCTTCATAATTTTGCAGTGTCAAATCGAATAGTGACTCAGAGTCACCTCTTGAGTGCAAAGGGTTGATTCTTCAATTGTCTTTTATCCTTTTGTTCCTGCTTCCACTAAGAAAGATGCAGAAGTCTTCTGCAAAATTATGAATATTTAGTATTTTAAATGAAACTTTCTATTGCAACGCGAAATATTGAGATCAAAATAGCTTTGTTGCTTAACACATTGAACGCCGGCTAAATTTCAGCTACTAAAAACGCGAGCGTCGACGATTATATTGATACATTTTTAAACATCGATTAAATCAAAATTTCTAATTTACGGAAGAGAATAAGGAATTCGATTTTGTAAATTTTACTTTGGATTTGTGTTATACATGTCTAAAATGTTACATGAACGTAGGGTTAGCAATTAAGCGATAGACAAAAAATCCCGCATTATCGCGGGGCCGGCGCTCAATGTGTTAATTTATCTGTGAATGATCGTTGAACTAGTTTCGAACGATGCCGACTATATCTCACTGGAACATGTTGAATATTTCCAGGCAAAAACTTTGGAGTGAAAAGGGTTAAATACGTACCTTGTTCATGTTCCGGATTAATTGTTCAGCTGACCAATTAAAATAACGGTGACCACTGATCCGGAACGTGAACAGGGTACGTACTTAAAGAGACTCTCTTGGCACACATTATCAGTGTGCCTTTAGCCCCCTGATAAAGCCAGCTGCAATGCTGGCGAAACGTTGGGAACAGATTCAAGCCGGAAAGCCAGAAATGAATACTTTGGTAAAATGTTTCTCATTAGAACACGTCGACGTTTCGATCCGCAGGCTCCCTCATCTGGTCAAGGTACGGTCGCAGCGACGGGCCGCACAAGCTTCACGTGTCGTTACAAAAATACGCGGAAATGGAGCCCAGGGAGTATCGATTCTACCTGGGCAGTCGTTACGGCAAACGATCGTCCCCGGATTACCGAACCGTTTCGTCTGTGGATCGGTTCAGCGCAGCCTTGAGCTTCATGGATCACGTCGACGGCGTCGATCTCGATGCCGAGAACGACGCGAGTAATGGCAGCGATCCTCAGCCTCTGTCCTAAAATCACCAATTTAACTGGTAAGTGAGAAATCGAAGATAACCTTTCGATGACATCATCGATTATTAACAGGTCCAGTACCACGTGTACCACGTATGGTTTAGATGAATTTCTGTAACTCGTAATTATTTTCTTAACCCTTTGCAGACAGATATCGACATTTCGGCGAGATCAGATTTTCACATTTGGAACAGTACGTAGAAAATTAATGATGTAATTACTCAAACAGCAATAGACCAGCATTTTTTTGTAATTCTTTGTCTCGACCTGTTCAAGTCGAGGATTGATACAGTTCATGAGCAAAATATAACCGAAGTTTCCGTGGCACGGAACGTGTTAACCCTTTGAACTCTGTAGGCTCCAATATTGCACCAGTTATAATATTAAATATTTTAATGAATCTTAAAGAAACTACCCTAAAATTATTCGATTTTTCATGCATCCAAGTTTTGTACTAACAAGGAAAGTAAAAGATCGAGGGAATGTTATAGCATTTCTAATTTTCGCTGTGAATACTATAAAAATTAGTTGCAGTTGCTGATAGATTATAAAACAACCTGGAGTGCTAAGGGTTAACACTAGAACTACCGTACCAGTCAAAATAACTGGTTTCAATTTTGTTTAGCAATTATTGATATCTTCTAAGCGTTGAATATTCGAAATGATTTTAAAAATAGTTTCATTTCAGTACTATAACGAATGTCTGAAGAAACTGAAAATAATCTACTGTTACAATTTTCATGGGAATTACATATTAAGTAGTTCTAATATTAAATCATCTTGTGTGATAAATTAATTATACAGTCTGAAAAGCCTATTGGAGACGAAGAACTAAATGGAAACAGTTGCTTTCGATAGAAACTTAGTAAGTAGAAGATAAACCGCATAAGATTGGATTACAGAATTTTTAATAGAAGTTTTTCTAATTGAATTATCGATTAAGGAGACTCGACGTCGATTCAAATTTATCGATAAACAATTTGCTAGCAGCGAAAGCTGACCAACAGGGTTTCCGACAGGACCTCCGGTTCCGCTTAATTCATTAATGAGATCGACTAATTTCTTGTTCTGGCGTTGAAGTCACTTCTAACCTAGAAAACATAATTCTCTACGTGGCCGCTGCTGCGTTTGAGTTTTACTATAAAAACAACGCACGCGTGTCGTTGCATTAAAAATCTTCGAAGTGAAAGTTAACGAAGTTTCTCTACTATTTTGAATTAAATACTTGTTTTTTAACGATCAAGAGAAACATTCCTTTGATCCTGGTTTCACTGGAAGACTTCGCGAGTTGCGTGTTCACTTAGGTAATGTTATCATTATACTTCTATTTAACGCTTTGCATTCGGGAGGTGACTCTCTCACCACTTGGTTTAATACAGTAAAATTATGAAGTTTGATGTTTAATACTAAACTTTGTATAACGCGTCACTATGTGAAATATCAAAGTAAAATAATTTTGTCCTTTAATTTATCGATTAAATTATTTACATTAGTCGCAAAAAGCATCGTCTATATTTTATCAAAAAGTGTTGAATATTTCTAATGAAAAACTTTCGAGTGCAAAGGGTTAAATATATTTGAACCCTTAGCACTCTAGATGGTTTTGTAATCTATCAGCAACTGCAACTAATTTTCATAGTATCCCTAGCGAAAATGAGAAATGCTATAACATTTCTTAGATGTTTTATTTTCTTTTTTAGTACAAAATATGGATGTGTAGAAAATCTAATAATTGTAGGGTAGTTTCTTTAAGATTCATTAAAATATCTAATATTATTCCTGGTGCAGTATTGGAGCCTACAGAGTTCAAAGGGTTAAATGATCACGATATTCAGTAGCTCTCAACTATGTAACCGTTCATTCGCACTTTTGCTTATTTCTTTGTAACAATCGAGATCATTGATAACAGATCTGCAAGTAAATAGCTAGATGTAAAGGAACATACATTTCTTTAACCACTTCTCCTATAACATCGAGTCAGAGATGAAAATTGTCGAGCTAATTCGATAAATTTCAATATTATCCGTTTATTTTCCATACAAATGAAATATTACTTGCACACTGTCAATCTTTAACCTTTACTGTAAACGTAAACATTCATTTTCTACTGAATTATTAACGATAAACTGGTTTATCGAACAGAAGTGTGAAAGAAATTATAGGATAATGGGTTAGAAACACAAAGTAAACAGCTTGTGGTTCCTGTTAATCGTTAACACATTGCGTACCGGCTAATTTTCAGAAAACTGAATTGTGATGGCAATTTTCACTGAGGTCAACTTATATCACTATACATAGAAAAACTCAGATATCATATTGTTAGGTAATATATTTTAACCGTTTGGATGCTAAACAGCTTTTGTGGATATTTACCAAACGTGCGGAAGTGATTGGGTGTGTATACAAAAAAAATCAATAAGAGTACTTATCTAATGAGATCACAAATATTGTGTTATTACAAAAAAATATCAAAAAATAACATTCATTCAAATAAATTTACTTTGATTTATTTCTTGAAGAATATAGTAAGAAAATTATAATTGATACTCATAAACAGCTCTCAAACGGTTAAATAGATAATCGATTCGAATGAAATTTTTTTTCCAATGCAGTGGTAATTAGCGAAGTTGCATAGCTAAGTGTCTTTGCATAAACACGAGATTTCTCGTTACCGGTACGCAATATGTTAACACCGATTTCCTCTAGGAAAATCGGTTGCAAGACTTTCTTCTCGATTTTTCAGTGTGCGGGGACTCGCTAACTATTCCCCCGCAGACGAAGCGAACTTGGAAGAGAAGAAGATCGGTCCCGTCGATCGTTTAACCGATTCGTCGACTGCTGATCGCGTCTAATAGAGCCCAAATCGTAACACTGTTAACAGACAAAGAAAAGAAGAATTCATTGATCGCGCGGAGGAGGAAGGAATAAACTTCAGCGATCATTCCACCGTGTTTCGGCTGTGATTTCATTCGGATTCGAGCTTCCGCGTTTTCTAGATTTTCGTAAAGTTCCACTTTGTTTGCTTGCGAAAACGATCCGCGTTTCCCTTGATTTACTCAGGCTGCGTAATTTAACGGAGACTGTTTTCTTTATTAGTTTTGTTACGCTTCGACTGTTAGGCTTAACACTAAACCTACCGAGCAGTTAATTGACTTTCTGAAACCCTTTTATAAACTTCATGATTGCATCTATTGAGACCTAAATTGATTTACAATTCAGTTTGCGTATTGCTAAATCAATTTCTTTAATCACTTCTCAGAGAATAATCTGTTATGTTCTTAATCCCTTGCACTCGAGAGGTGACTCTCACCACTTGATGTGATGCAGTCAAGATATCAAATTTGATATTTAATATTGAACTGTGTATAATGCATCGGAATGTGAAAATTGTTTCTCAATTTATTTGTGACTTCTCTTTGAGTTAGCTTCGAAAAGTATCGTCTTTGTCTAATTAGAGAATGTTAAGTATTTCGTTAGAAATACTTCTGAGTGCCTCTATTGAGACTTAAATTACAATTCAGTTTGCGTATTGCTAAATCAATTTCTTTAATAACTTCTCAGAGAAATATCTGTTATCTTCTGAAAGAAAGCATCAGCAATGGGTGATTTTTACCCTCGTAGATTTAGTGTCAACCCTTTGCAGGTTTTTCCTCGATAACTCTGTATTATTAGAAACGTTTCATTCTAAATGCACTTTGCAAAATAGTTAGCTGGCAGAAACCAGTGTAAACAATTATGTTCATTAATAATATTGAAAACAGCGTAATAATATACTGTCTTTAAAAAATATCTTGACCAAAAGGCACAGCTGCGAATAAAACCGATGTCGAGTCACACTCGACGAGAGCTAAAGTTTCAATCTAAATGCACTTTGCAAAATATTTAGTTCGCAGGAACCAGTGTAAACAATTCTTTTCATTAATACTATTGAAAACAGCATAATAATATATTGTATTTGAAAAATATCTTGACCAACACGCACAGCTGCGAATAAAACCGATGTCGAGTCACACTTGACAAGAGCAGAAGTTGCAAACTGCCCGAAGGATCATTCGAGATAATCGGCGCCGTTCCCGAGTTTCGCTTCCACGTTTTCGTACGCAATTTTAAACAAATAGACTGCTGTTTACGCCACGCGAGAAAACGACCGGCGTTTTCTGAACGAAGGGATCGGTGTCTTGGAAATCCCTCTGTGAAAACGCGCCGTAAAGACCGTTGTGAAATGGAACGTGAATTATTTAGCCGCGTTAACTCCCAGCAGAAATTTGAGTAAAAGAACAATTCCCTCTTCTCTTTCTTTCGCGAATCGTTTAAAAACAATTCTAAAGCGCTCATTCGATCGTAACGCTCGTCCAATGAAATTAACAGTGCAATCTATTATTATGCAGATTGTAAATAATTTACGAACTCTTTGACGGCAATTTCGTCGGCAAGAAAGTTTCTTGGGTAAGTACAATACCTCACGGGAGTAATCTCGTGTTTTTGCAAACATCGTGTCCATTATTCTTTCAAAAGTTTAGTCTGCATGTCAGTAGTAGAGGTCAGTATTAGGTCGGCCCACCGGGAAATTCTTTTTCACCTTAATTTCACGTTCCTCGTGACTTTTCGCTCTCCCCTTATAAGTTCGTCATTAGTTCTTCAATATTTATCCTGCGACACTTTTACTACTCTCGGTTCCTTAAATAAATTTTTTAAACGTTTCTTTGGTTCTACTCTAATCTTAACTTATTTATCTTTTTACTCTTTGATTATAATTGTTTCTCAATCGTCTTACTGAAATTTTAATCTCAGTTTCACCTTTCCTTCGAATGTTTCCTCTTTGTTTAATTCCTTAAATCAATTTTTTAAACGTTTCCTCGGTTCTATTCTAATCTTAACTTATTCCGTTTTTTTAATTAATTTAATTTTTTAATATTTTAATCTGAATTTCACCTTTCCTTTCCTTTCCTTTCCTCTCTGGTTCTTTATTTATGAGTACCCATCAATTACACCATGTTCCGCGTCTACGTTTTAACTGTAACTCTCTTATTCTCGAGGATGGCGTTATTGTTTCCCCCAGAATTGTCCTTTTAATCTCTGTCCTTCCGACCGCTCGGATTTCCATCGTTTTTCCGTCTCATTTCGCTCGTTGCGGGCCGAGTCCTCGACCCGATATCCCATTATTGAGGAGCGCAACAGGTTCGCGTCGATTATTTCATTAGCCTCGTAGTAGTTTTTAGTTTGGTAACGACTGCCGGACCTTTTTATTTTTATCTCCGTTCGCCCCGGGGACCGCCGATAACAGTAACGCTTAATTTCTCGTCGTACCGGTAATTAAACGGCGCGGAAAACGCGTGCCACGATCGCGGAATTTCGGGCTCGTTCGTCCTCCTCCACGTCGCGACTATTCCTACTATTGTTCCTCGAGTAAAACAGCGTATCAGCTATCCTCGTGTTAAGTAATGTATTCACGTGAATGTGTGCTAAATAAATGATGACTTTATTCCGTAAAACGAATGCCTGTTTTATTATCCTCTGCCGATCAATCCTGATTCCTCTACTGATTATATATTTACAGGTTCTTCAATCTTCGTGGATAAATACCTTGTTGTTTATATAATGCAATTATTTGCTCGCAACTTTCGATTCTAGATATGAAAGTCTAATGGGGTCTGGTATACCAGCGTTCTTTATTAAAGGGTTCAAATCACGGATTGAGATTGAACACTCGATGGAATGGAGGGGCTGTTCATTTGTCGAGATGATTAAGTCCTTAAACTCAAAAATATAAAAATATAAACGTTAAAAGATTTAAAAATATAAAAATCTGAAGATCTGAAAATATGAAAATCTGAAAATTTGGAAATCTAGAAATCTGGAAATCTAAGAATCTATAAATCTACAAATCTATAAATCTACAAATCTACAAATCTACAAATCTACAAATCTACAAATCTACAAATCTACAAATCTACAATCTACAAATCTACAAATCTACAAATCTACAAATCTACAAATCTACAAATCTAAAACTCTAAAAATTAGAACATCTGAAAATGTGAAAATGTGAAAATCTGAAAATCTGAAAATCTGAAAATATAAAAATGTGATAAAATCGTTTACACAAGGCACCAATCGAGTGTTCCAGCATCGAGGTTTAAAAACAATGTAAAACATAGAGTTGGTTCCAATGCAAGAACGCTTCAAATGGCAACTTCATTAGAATCCAATTAAAATTTCTACCGATTTTAAACCGCTTCGCATTGCGTTTGGTTGTCCAAGGTAAACGATACTTCACGGTAAACCGATACACACGGTAGTATCGACGAACCGAATGATCATTCGATCCACCCACAACCGACAAGGAAGATTTCAAGGGAAAAGCGACACGTTTCCGTCGAGCGGAACGACTTGTCCCGCATCGCGATATCGATTACGAAGTGCGCGGCGCCGAGCGTCGAATGCCGATAGGCCAATTAGAAACATGGACGCGTTCCATTCACTTTCGCCGGCTGCTATGAGCTTTTCCGTCGAAAGCAACAAAAGTAAGAACACCGATTCAACGGGACTAACCTAGTCTTCTTGCTACGTTTCTGCTTTTTTCTTCTTCTCCTTCTTCTTGGTCTTCGGTGATCGAACTGGTGTCGCAGGATTAAAGAGAACAGGTCATTCAATGATCCCAGATAGAACAATGACTGCATATTGATTAGAAAGTTAGAGAACCAAGTGCATCGATATAATAACGTGCAAAAAAATAAAAATATAGGAGACTGTCATAGCATCACGTAGAACAAAAGCAATTTCGTTTGTGAGAAATGACACTTAAAATATCTTTTGATGTTTGTTACGACTAGAATGTTTACTGAATTTTATTAATCTTATCGTTTACGAGGACTATAGATATTTAAGAATCAATATGTATTCAATTGATATCGATTACAATTATCCAAGAGGGAGGAGACAATGGACATCGATTAGAAAGTTAGAGAACCGAGTGCATCGACATATAAACGTGCGCGTGAATTTTCTTCGTTGATCGATGCACCTCTTTAACTCTTTGACGCATGTCGGCATTTCGGTGGGATGAAATGTTCAGATTTGGAAGACTAAGTCATGGACAAATGATCTAATTAGTCGAACAGCAAGAGATCAGCACGTACTTCAATTTTTTTCTATTAATTAAGCAATTGATATATAATTTAATTTCATGTGTTGAAGGTTTTGTATGTTTCGAAGAATCTTCGTCCGCAAAGGGTTAACCCTTTAGGTCTCAGATAAAAACTTCGAAGAAAAATACATTGATTTATGCAATATAAGTTAAATTATCATTTTTAAATATTTTTATAAAACATGCTCTAACTGTGAAGAAGGTAGGTAAAGATTTATTACATCGATTTTATACTTTCGCACTTTGGATTTCAATTCTTTTCGGATGTAGGTTCGTTTGTTAATGAAGTTACGTTACGTGGAAAGTAGTTTTGTCAATACTGTTGCGCGTCGTTACATAAAATCGAAGATTATTTGAATATTAATTTTGACTCGAAGAAACTATAATGATATCGAACTGTTTAACCAAACGATTTAGACAACTTTCGCCCGGAGAGTTCATGTTTAATCGTGTGCTTCGCGCGGATGTTCGGCAGCCTTTGACTCTCCAGCGACTTATATCATAATTCGTGGAAATTTCACTCTAACGTATGCGTTACGTAAGTCGTCTGAATCTTCCGGTCGCCTTGGCATTCGTCTACGAACATCGAATGTCTGGAACTTTCCCTTCGACTAATTATTTCGAGTTCTTGCCTGGTAAATAATATCTCCAACGTGGAGTAATAATTTTCTGATTAAATTAAACCACAATTAACCATATTCAAGATCTTTTTCTATGGACTACATTGCGGTGTCTCTAATTTCTAATGCAACGATTATTTACTTACGAATTATATGAAATTTCTACTGGAAACACGTTAATTAACCTATTCAAAATCACTGGATATCCGAGTTGAATTAACCCTCTGCAGGCCCGTGTAACTTTGAAGTCACATATCAGTATATTGGCGTCTTGTTGATTTATTTCATTTCGCACTCAAAGTGGTGAATAAAATTAAGTAATCAATTAACTTAAACTTTTATATGCCCAGGCGTGAAAGTTTAACGTCATTGTAACTTGAAAGTTACAAAATATATTCGTTTGATGAAATTATTGAGACTATTGAATACATTGTTAATTCGTATGCACATGTGAATATTTATTAATTTTGCGCTACATAGACTTTGTTATAATCATGAACAAAAACTCGGTC